GCAGTGTAAGTGTAAGAGTCTGCATTTGTTTTATATCCATATCTTTCTATCTATCTATTTATCTATCCATCTATATATATATATATATATATATATATATATATATATATATATATATATATATATATATATATATATATATATATATATATATATATATAGTAACGTCATTTATAAATTCAATCATTCATCGCTTTGTGTTGTTGTTATTCATCTAGTCCAAACAGAGAAATCCCACTCGGCACTCGGTTTCAATTCTGTTACACCATCGGTACGTATAATATACGCACCACGTACAAATTAGGTAAGACAACACATGTTGCCGCTGAAATGACAAACTAACACACTAGCATTCTATGAATCAGCGAGGCAAGATGGATTTGCTCTGGTCAAAGGCTGCTTGCCACAGGCGAGTTGCTGTTATTCTCTGGACATGAAGAAGTTGACGCGACACACAATGAGGGAGTCGCCTTGATGCTCTCCAGGACATCTCAGGGAGCACTTACTGAATGGGAATCGCATGTCCCACGAATCATCACAGCCTCCTTCCATACAGAAAGAGAATGATCTTCATGTATGTTATTCAGTGCTATGCTCTAACCAATGTTGCAGAAGAAGATGAGAAAAAAGAGATCTTCTACCATAGACTTTTAACCATCTTACATGATCGCTCTAGACAAAATATCACTATCGTCGTGAGCGACTTTCAATGCCAAGACTGGAAATGAGAACCGGAGCTATGAAGAAGTTAATGGGCGGCAAGGATATGGGGAGATGAATGACAATGGGGAGATATTTGCCAATCTTTGCGCCACCGGCAACCTGATCATTGGTGGAAGTGATTTCCAACACAGAAACATACACAAGGTAACTTGGGTATCACCAGACTCAACAACAGAGAACCAGATTGACCACGTGTGCATTGGGATAAAATTCCGAAGATCTCTACAAGAGGTCAGGGTCAAACGAATGGCAGACATTGCATCAAATCACCATCTCCTTGTCGCCCGACTGCAGCTAAGGTTGGACAGCAGGAGCAATCCACTACCAGCGTTACAAAACCACGCTTTTGAAAGATCCGTTTAAACAAAGAAAGTTTACCATCTTACTCTCCAAAAGCTTTTAGACCCTACAAGAGCTGCTAGAAGAAGAGACTACAGAAAACAAATGGCAAGGTGCGAAAGAGGCACTAACATCAACCTGCATAAAAATCCTGGGGACCAGAAAACCCAACCAGAAGGACTGGATGTCTGTAAAAACTAAGCTAGAGATAGAGAGAAGGAAACATATGAAGGCAGTAGTTAATAACAGTTGCACTAGAGCTAGAAAGATTAAATCTTAGGAAGAATACTCTCAAGTAAACCAGCTTGTGAGGAAAAAGAATCAAATGAGACACGCGGAACTCTGCAGAGCCCCTATCGAGAGAAGCAGAGGAGACAGCTCACCAGGGAAACATGCGAGATATATATGCCACTATCAAGAAGCTGTCAGAAAAATTTAACTGGCCTAAACAATATGTGAAAGAGAACGAAAGATTATACCAGATGAACAGGGACAGATTAATAGATGGGTGGAGCACTTCGAAGAACTTCTAAACAGACCAGCTCCTTAAGAACCACCCGATATGCATCCGGTTGACAGCGACCTGTTGATTAACTGCAGCATACCGACTAAAGAAGAGATACGCATAGCCATAAAGCAACTCAGAAATGGCAAATTGGCAGGACCAGACAGTATTCCAGCAGAGGCACTGAAAGCAAATGTACAGCTCAGCGTGAAGATACTCTACCCTATCTTCAGCCAAATCTGGGACGTCCCTTCCGATTGCAAAGATGGCTACCTCATCAATCTCCCAAAAAAGGTGACCTAAGCTCCTGCTCCAACCACAGAGGTATGATGCTGATATCCATTCTAAGCAAAGTGTTCATTCGAATTCTACTGAACAGGATAAAAGACGCCGTCGACCCACTGCACTAAGACCAATAGGCTGGTGTTTGCAAACAGCAGATCATGCACTGACCAGATAGCAACATTGTGCGTAATCTTTGAACAGTCATTTGAATGGAACTCGCCGCGTAATGTCAACTTTATCAACTACGAAAAGGACTTTGACAGCATATATAGACAGACCGTCTGGAAGCTGCTGAGGCACTACGTAATACCAGGAAAACTCACAAACATTATAAGGAATTCCTATGAGAAAATGACGAGTAAAGTGGTCCATAGGCGGCAACTTACCAGCGCCTTCCAAGGACAATGAGATGTTTGTTTTTACCCTTTACTTTTCTGTTCGTGATAGACTAGATAATGAGGTCATCAACAGTCCACACACAAAATGGCATACAATTGACCCTCTGGACACAACTGGACAACCTTAACTTTGCCGAAGACCTGGCTCTTCTCTCCCACACCAACAACAGCTGCAAAAAAGACCAACATCATTGTATAAACATCAGCAATCACTGGTCTTGATATAAATAATAGAAAGAGAAAGATCCTGAAAGTCAACACAGCAAGCTCGACATCCAGACCTTGCTAAAATTTTGAAAACAACAAGAATGGATATAAAAATATTCTTGCATGTGTTGTGTTTTTCAAAATGAGCTAAAATATACATAATTAGAGACAACATATACTATGGGTTTTTTTACAAATCTTTAGAAAGCAAAAGAAAATTTTAGGATCTGCTGGAAACATGAAACAATTAATGTTCAACTTACCCCAAAAGACACCTGCACTGGAAAAATTTAACAAAAAATGTAAAATTAGTCATGTAGATTCATTTCAATCAAATTAAAAATGGACTTTGGTTTTATATTTTATGAAACCTTATTGCTGAGTAATTTATCAATCATCACATATCGTATCTGATGATGTCTAGATAGATAAAAACACCAATGAGCATCAGACCGTTTATCTACAAGTTGAATTTATACAATGTGACAGAAAGAAAACAGCGCGTTATTAAAGGATTATATCATGAATATCATGCGAAACCAGATAGAGGAAATAAACATCAATAAAGACCGAGGGTAAACATTAAACTTGTGCACATGAAAAACGTGTTACGGTTACTATAGAGTATGCGATTTATAACTAAATAAACGAAATCAAGATAGCATTACACAATAATAATGATTGCTCAACCACCAGCTAACATAATGCTGAAGAACAAATATAATGTGCTTCTCTGCAATATTCTTAACCAAATAAAATCAATGAAAATTAGATTACTTTTGATTCTATCCTGATGTTATTTTATTCTTTTCAAATTTCATTAAAAGGCAATACAGCATCATTTGGTTTATGTACACATTCAACTATGTATGTATCAAAATACTATGACCATCCAATAAAGGATAGTAACAACAAGATTTTTAAAACAGCCGTCATCGTAGTCATATTAGATGCACAACTGGCACTATTTCAATTTAATCGAGATATCTATTGGTGAAAAATTAGTGTTGAGAAAGCCATCATATTGAAGCGGAGCAGAGATAAAAAGATGACATTCCATTCAAGTATATCAACCATGACAAGACTTCCAAGATAGTGTCAATGACGATCATAATAGTAGGCCGATCGTCAACATTTCCATTTAAGACCGACGGGGCAGTATATTAAATTTTCTGGAGGAAACCTCAGTACGAAGATAACGTTCTGTTCAAGTAGAGTTGTGACAAGATTTTTATGATGGTTGCCATGGTGGCATATTGGATGTCCGATCAGCAACAATAATTTTAAAACCAGCTTGACAACAAAAGAAGCCTTTTAGTGAAAACTATTTCTTAACATGACCTTCCAAGAGGAGAAACAATAACAAGCTTTTCAAGATGGTTGTTGTGCAGCCACATTTGAAAACAAATCGGAATCATTATTATTTTTAACCAACATAAGCAGTCTGTTATTGAAGAACATGTTGCAATGAACAGGGAGTATAGTGACAACAAGATTTTCAAGGAAGCCGCTGTGGCGGCCAAACAGAACCTCAAATCATCACCATTTCATTTTAAACAAAGAGGACATCATATAATGTCCTTAGTGAAATGCCGTCTTAATATAACTATCCATTGAGCTAGAGTTTCAAAATGGCCGCTGTAACGGACATAGTAGATACTAAGCAGCACCATTTCGTAAGACCAACTAGACCATGGGAAGATTATTTGTGTTTAAAGTATCAAGGCAATCCTCCAGGTAGTTCAGGAGGAATATCGATAAAACAAAAATTGTGCTAGATAACAGACTACGAAAGGCAATGAACAACAAACCATCCCACAATCATTTCTGGTCTATGACCAGCAGATCTAAAAAATGAAAGAGGAAAAATAAAAATATTAAACTTAAATAGGTTTTGTCTATGGTAACAACTAACTGTGGCATTTTTTTTACAGACATTTAGAAGATATATTAGTATACAAATTTAATGTCTTTGTCCGGATACGAAACTACTGTCTGAATGTAGAAAACCTTTAACGAATGGTGATGCATTCAAAATGAAATAGCATCTGCATAAATATAAAGCAATTTAATTGTATCTGTAATACTTTCGACATTCGAAAGTATCTGGCCTGGAAATGCCTCAAGGGGAAAAACAATTTCCTGAACTATAATGTGCCGGAAGAACATAAAAATTTACGTTAATTGTTTTGGGAAGTCTGTGCCTGTTGTAGAATTAGTTGCATGGAAAAGTAATTGTGCGCTAAGGAGCATATTGGTATCGAATAATCGAGATCATTGTCAGTTGAGGAACTTAATTTCGTGGAATATAAAGATGACCAGACAATTTGGACATAATATTAACATATTAACAGATAAAAGTATTACAAGGTTAAATCAGTACGTAAGGTCTTATTTAGTCTGCATATTGCTTTTTAGGGCACAAATAAAAGCAACCGATTTCAACAATGTTATAAAATTAAAGAAACTACTGATGTTAGGAAAGCAAGGTTACAGGACACATCAAAACATTACTTAAAATGAACATTACCGTACAGCTGATGGCAATTGTGGCCTAGTGGTTAGAGCGTCCGCCTCGAATGCGGAGGTCGTGGGTCGAGTCATACCAAAGACTTATAAAAATGGTACTAACAGCTGCCAAAGAATTAAGATGTCAGTGTTAGGACTGGTCGGCCTGGTGTAAGGATAATGTGACTGGGTGAGACATCATGCTACATGTCTGCGGCATGATTACCTGTCTCACTGTAGACATCGCAGGGATATGACTGAAATATTGTTAAAGCCACGTTAAAAATATAAATCACACACACAAACACACACACACACACACAACTAATAGCTAGAAATAAACATATGATGCTGGTGGTGACGGTGCATTTTGGTTAGTTGGAGAAATAGATGTGAAAATCTAGAATTCCAAAGAATCGCCTAAACTGGAATTAAAAGCCTACTAAGTGTATTCTAAATGACAATAAAAATACTAAATGTAAGACAATACATTGTAAAAGATACAACAATAAAAGTCAACAAGATGTCTAAAATTATATTTTGAGGAAGGAACAATATGATGTAAGCTTCTAATGTGACTCGCCTTTAGGAAATGCGGATGAGCTCAGCATTGAAAACAATATTAACCATAAAATAGCAGATAAACATCTATATCGATACCAACAGCTGCAGAAGGTGCAATAGCTAATTGATTGAAGTAGTTTATGGGCCTTTACTTAGAGTATAGTGATATTGTTTCGGCGCAAGAAAACTACTGTGTAGACAATCTTTTTTCTGAAGAACTAACCTTTGAAGAGCTTTGCAAATATTCTTTATTTATACCTCTAAATAAAAATGTATATTAGAAAGCCACTGTTGCCAAAAGAGGTAGAATAGTCTGGTCTAGTGGGAAAGAAACAACTTGTACATTTGACTTCACAATCACTAATACTGATGCTGTGGTGCTTATTCCTCAATAACTCATATAAATAATTGCTAATATGTATGTAACCTGTCTAATTTTTTGATGAAAAAGAAAACACCGTTGTTTTCTGATGCAGAACCTCCACTCGTTCTTTTAACAACCATTGTTACATCTGTCACCAAATTGTCAGTAACAAAGCAATAGAGTATATATATATATATATATATATATATATATATATATATATATATATATATATATATATATATATATATATATGTTAGAGCACTTAAATGAACTATTGCTTTACTCTCTCTTGAAACAACTAAGTCAGCCGTTCATGTATATATATATATATATATATATATATATATATATATATATATATATATATATATATATATATATATATATTATAGCGCATAAATGAACTATTGCTTTACTCTCTCTTGAAACAACTAAGTCAGCCGTTCATGTATATATATATATATATATATATATATATATATATATATATATATATATATATATATATATATATATATATATATATATATATATATATATATATATTACAGCGCTTAAATGAACTATTGCTTTAAACTCTCTTGAAGCAACTAAGTCAGCCGTTCATGTAATGATAACATGTCTCACTTTGGTGATCATATTTTTATTATGATCACCAAGAAGTCTCTCCGGATACATTAAATGTCCAACTATTTGCACTCTTCTAAAAATAGTTGCAAACGCTTCGAGAACAGCAGTTTTGCTTGCATCTGTATCTTCTAGTCCCTTTTTTAACCTTTCATTTCTTTCTCAATCATATAAGCATCATTGTTCCTATGTGGTATTTTCAGTTTTATAACTTCTGACGACATTTTATGTCCACTTAGTTCTTTACGTTTTTATGACACTTAATCTTTCACCGCATTACTTTATCAGTCAAGCTTCGTATGTGTCTGAGCTTATCTCATTAAAGCCTTTAATAGGAATGATGTTCATCTCATCATTAATAATCCATTTTTTGGGTGTAATAAATTTTGTCAATTTGGTATTGAATATGTCATATAAACTGATGTCGTATTTTGTTTCACTGTTTAAATAATGTCTCAAGAATGATGCGCAATGAATCACTATTTAGTCATTATGGTCGATAAATCTTATACAACAATCCGTTCATTATATAATATTTCTGTTTCCGTAGAATTTCGATCATTTAAATTCTATCCAGCCTTCTATTCAAGCTAAAGATGTCGGTAACCTGAGTTCTCATGAAACTATTATCTGGATATTTCATGCTGAATCGTTTCTCCTCGTTGCTTGGTGTAAGTAGTACTTTACTCGACTAAATAATTTGAACCCATGTCATGATGAACAGACAACTTTTGTAACCGAAAAGGTTAGGAATTACCAATTAGTTACATTTAAAATTGCGATTTATACTTGCCTGTTAATTGAATGGTATAACCTTTTCTGTTTTCATTTATTTCGTTCCGAAACATATAGCAATGTTTGCATTTTTCTCAATGAACATAATGAGTTAAGCATTTTCCAATCATAATGTTAGGTAGTTGTTCCAATTTGCCCATCACGTCATAAAATACTTGACTACAATCCGTTCCTCTGTAAAACATTTCTTTTACTCCTTCTGATTTGATTATATGTACAAACAAAACATTGATCAACTAACTGTATTCCACATTGCTTAATACAACCTGGCAATATGAGAGTTTCACAATTACAATAACAAGCACGTAGAGCTGTTAACTGATGCATCATTTTACAACAAAGCCCTATGTCAGTCTAATTATCATATTTAGCTGTATTTGTGTTCTGATAAGTTTGTTGAAAAAAAAAATATTCAAGTATTTTGATGAAAATGCATTTGCATCAGCTTGTCGATGGTGACATAACTCTTGCAAAAGTGGTATTCCAGCAAAGTGAAACCCTTCATCTTTGTGCTAATAAAGTAATAAAGACCTCAAAAATATAGTAAAAGTATTCTCTCTCTCTCTCTCTCTCTCTCTCTCTCTCTCTCTCTCTCTCTCTCTCTCTCTCTCTCTCTCTCTCTCTCTCTCTCTCTCTCTCTCTCTCTCTCTCTCTCTCTCTCTCTCTCTCTCTCTCTCTCTCTCTCCCTCTCTCGAATCGAATCGAATCGAATCGAATCGAATCGAACAAGTCTAACATAGTTTCCATCAGCAACCCCTACTATGTCTATAACGTCTAATTTCCATGGACATTTCTGGATATATCATATTAATTTCCTTTTTTTTTTGGTGCCTGCATATGTCTAATCCATTACTTTATCTAGCCAAGTAGAAGTTCCATGGCCTCTGATGAATTTGCATAAGTACATTTATCAGAAAAAAATATTATAATCCTTATTTTTAACTCTAATATAAGCTTTCATTTTTTAATTAATTTAGGAACATATTTGCATGCGCTTCCATTGAGTACAGTTCATTGTGTAATATTAAATATTCAATCCACTCTTTCTCAATACCTTCACTTATTTCCGATCTAAATTTTGATATTAAGAATATCACATAAATGTTCAATGATATTATCCATTACACCTCTATTCAGTATGTAAAGATACTTCTGTTACCTGATAAAAATAAATGTACTCAACTTGTTCAGTCTTCTAAATGGGTCTTTTCATAAGTCCGTTAGTCGGGTATGTCCTTTTGCTCGACCAAATTATCAAAGTTTTTCATAACTCAATTTCTGCAAACATGGGTTGATACCGTGTACAAATTCCTCCATATTGTGATTATTATCAGCATATAAGCTGCATATATTAAGTAAGATCTATGTGGTAACAATATGTGTCAAGGAATGATATTGATATATTGTTACGTATCGGCTCGTTTAATGTAACACAAAGAAAAGAGTGATCACGTGGTAAACAATATGTTTATATGGCTCCGTGTCAAGTAGTGACCTCCAACGGTGAAATTTGCCCGGTATCGAATAGGCTACTACAAGTAGGGATAAAGTAGTAATCTGATCTAATATATAGAACAAATAAGACGAGAACCCCGTTACAAATAAGACTAACATTTTTTTTTAAAATCTCAAACAATAAAAATTTCCACGAATAAATATATTAAAACATTATGTAAATGACCGTTCGAAATATACAATTTTTTTCTTTACTAGTTACTAACTATAGAACTTCAAAATATCATGACAATTAAGGAATTTCAAAATACATTGGCATAAAAAAATTAGCCAATGCTATTTAAGATAGAGACCAAATCATCATACAAGACTGTGCAATCGAATAGTTCTGCCTTTTGCAATAAAAGGATAACCTGTTGTCCCCACAGGTCCTCTCAGACTGTACTTCAGTTCCGTTGTTCAGTACGTCTTCCGTTCCACTTTGTCTCGTTTCCCCCAATTCGAGATACTTTTTACTTCGTTCCAACTACTTTTTCCTTTCCATACTGTTTTTTCTTCCCACACTGATTTTTCTCCCCACGCTGTTTGGGTTGTACTTTTTCTCAGACCTATCTTTCCTTATGAAAATAAAACAGCCTTCATACGTCACATTAACGGAAATACACAACTAGACTGACCCCCTCCAGGTCAGAAATTACTCTATCGCTTTCAACAGTCTACGCGGCTAGTTCCTAGGCTAATCAACTGTGAATGCGATTTACTCCACAGGTGGCATTGGCCTTTATCACGCGACCTCATTATACGTAAATGAATAAAATTCCACACTACACAACAAGGCTACCATTATGCATAATGCATTCGTTTCGGATAGATCCGACTACTTTCGTAGCAACAATCATCAATTCATTCACTGACTATAACTACAATATTATCAGCTAAAAGAACTCAACACAGTTATGTCAGATACATAATTCCGTATGTAAAATACGCATGAATTCAACCGACTCAATTCCTACAATAATCATGACTATAACTTAGTAAATCCTCAATGCATATGTAGAAGAAAATATCGTTGCGTGGCTCAGATAAACAAACTAGAAAACAAGTATACCATATCAAGAAAATTGATCTACTAGTCAACAAATAAATTCCTGCAAATACTTGCTTCTACAATCCATTATATCCTAGCATAAACTTCGTATATAAATTCATGCAACTACAAGTACCTACTATCCGATAAATCATAGCATACAAGGAAGATATGAGATTTATGCAATTACCTTGTGTTTTTTTTTTCTGCTT